CCTCACACACAGGGAGAAACTGGATCACAAGAATAACGTCCACAAAACCTTTAAAAAACCCAAAGCTCTGGAAGGTCTTCCTCCAGGAACCAAGGTGTGACCCTACAACATGTATTTAAGATCTGTTTACTATTCTTAAAATTATACAATTGAATTTGAATGTGCATTGTGTTTTTCTTCCAGGTGACCATCCGAGCGTCCCTCACAGGAAAGGCTCCAACGCTGAACAGCTCCACTGATCCATCCAGCCTTGTTATCACCCCAGAAAGTTTCAACCAAAAAACCAAGCCTCCTGTCAGTGGATCCAAGTCCAAGTCAAACGTCTCTGCAGGAAAAGCCAAGACGAGCAAGAAGAAAGATCTCCAGTCCAACAAACACAATCTGTCGCTCAGGAACATCAGGTGAACTTCACACACAGCAGGCAGAGACATGACAGCAAGAACGACATCTTTAACAGGATTCTTTGCTTCAACAGACTGAAAAACATTTATATTGACCGCATGATTAGCGTGGCTTAAATCATTTATGATATTGATTTTTATCTCAATTGAGAATTTAAATAAATATAATCTCAATAATGATAAAAATGCTATCGGTTAAATCTATTTTTTGTGTATAGTGTCTTTTGTCAGATATATTTCTCTCAAAATAAGAGTGCAGGGAGTTAGAGACAGGGTCTTATAATGTGTGTACCTTTAACATGATATCAACTTTTTAATTATTTTATTATGACACACCTATATTAGCAACAATTTAAACATTATGAGAACGTTTTAGCACTACAATCCCTTCCCAATAAAATTGTAATCCTTAGCATGTCCATCTTAATCATTAAGATTAAGAACACTAATTTAGGGCCCCACCTCCTGGTCATTCATGACAGGGATTAATAGGTGTTATTAAAGCATAGGAATACACAAAGGAGCTAATGACATTTTTAATTAATTTTCCTGACTGTTATCATTAGGCTGGCTAAAAATAATATAGAGTATAGCGATTATTCCTTTTCCTTAAACTAATGAGTGGAATATTTGGCTAATTGCGCTCAGTAATCAAAAACAATATGCCATCTTAAGTCACATAATGACCCATAAGATCACAAGATAAAATATGTAGCTGAAGAATTTAGAGAACCTGCAGACCTCTCATAAATAACAAAGTAAATTGATTTGTTCATCTGCTTCAATAAACCAACTGTGACATCCTAACAGCTATTCTAGTAATTGTCTGTCTCGTCCATGCTTGAATATATTTGTGTTTTGTTCTCTCTTTTTTTTTAATGCCCACATTTCAGAGTCGATGGAGGACAATTCACGTGCATCGAGTGCAACACACAAGTGGACCACTTCTTTTCTCATTTCCCAATGATTTCAAATTGCGGTGCGTGCAAATATCGGACGAGTTGCAAAGTCGCCATTGGGAATCATATGATAAGGTGAGAGAAAAACCTTACCTTATGTTTAACACAGTGTTTTTATCTGATTAATCGTTTAACATATTTGTCTTTCCTCTTTGTTAGATTTCATAGTACCATAACCAAAAACAGATTCTTGAAAATGAATCACAAGAAGGCTTCATCGGCTTCAAAGTAAGTACGCTTCATAAAGTCTGTACTGCATTCAACATTAAATACAGAGTGTTTTCTGTTTGAAATTAAACATCACATACGGTTTGTTTATTCCCCAGAATAACCCTGGTCTGTCTGAACTGCGACCTCCTCGTGGACGCAACAGGCGGTGACCTGATGACCAGACATTTAACTGACAGACCAAATCACATATGCAAAGTCATTCAGGAAAAGGGTACGTTTTCTTTCCACCTATAACGCCTGACTCATGGCTCGTGTGTGACACGTTTCTTGAAAGGTTGTCCTTTGTTTTTAACCCAGCAGATATCAAAGCCAAAGGTCGAGTGTGAGTAGAAACTACTACCCACTTTACATCTTGTCGTTCGATTATCTCTAATCTATAAATCATAACACAACAAATGTTGAAGACCAATTAACATTTACTAAAATCTAAAACCCGCTGGAATAAAATTGCATGTTTTTCTTCTGCTTTTGCTACAAATCTGGTCTGTAAATCACATGTTGTGTGGTCTGATTGAAGGGAAAGTCCAGAACTAGAAGTGCTTTGTTTTACAACATTGCTCCCTGTCTTTTCACTAACCGTATGAAACTCTTCTGCTTTTTATCTGTGATTAAAAAACTTGTTTTTATACAGCCAATAAATTGTTTAATTTGAAACAATATTTCCTGCAGGCAGTGGTGCTTGTTGGACTAATAGCCAGTCCATTATTGGTATAAAGACACATTTCTTCAACAACAAAAAGATGTTCCAAAGTCAATAAACAGAAGAATATATTCACCAACTATTACTATAATTGTTTAAGATTTTTTTTTTTAAAGCAAAAATGTATAAAATAAAATATGCTGTTTTTAGCCTCTCAAAAAATGTACATTTCCTGCTTTTCTCAGTTTAATAATGTGTCTTAAGGTGGATATCTTTGGGTTTTGGACTGTCAAAAAAAGACCCTTAAAGACATCACCTGTGCTTTGACAGATTAAACGATAATGGAAATATGTGTTGATTACAGCCCTTTACATCATTGTAACCTCTTTGGTTTTAATAATGATAGAGTGCTTGCTAACACATTTTCACTACCGCTGTTTCATAAGTTTTGTTAGCAGTGTGTTTTGCTTAAAAAGTGAAGATAGCATATTGCTGCATGTAAATCTAAAGGATGCTTTTAAAATGATGTCCTCTTCCTTTCCTGCAGCCATCTCTTTTTGAGGCAGCCAGCAAAAACGTTCTATCTCTTGACGACGGTGCCTGTTTTAACACCAAAGGAAATGGACTTGAAAGTGGTTGCCACTGTGGATAGACCAGAGCCGATTGTACCAGCAGGTGATGGCGAAAAAGCTTCCACAGAAATCAGTGTGGTTGAAGGTTCCTCTGAAGGACACTTGTTGCTGCCCGCTGTATCGTCTTCCTGTGCATCAGAGTCAGTGTGTAACTCTGAGAGCCTGAAAGAAAGTGAGCAGCTCCCTGAGCATGAGACGAGGGAACAACCAACCAAATCAGAATGAACCTCTACAACGAACACCATTCACATGTATAGCTAGGTATTTCATTAAGAGTCCATCAGTCAGTCCTTGGCATTGTTTTCTTTATATAGAAAAATATGAAAATGGTGCTTTGCTGCTGGTATTTTCCACCATTCCCCTCTAGGTTCATGTGTTACGCAAAGTCCAATCCAACAACGAAAATATAAATAGATCTTTTGTTAAAATACTATTTCCTAAAAGGATGTTGAGTATTTTAGTATTTTTTTAATAGAAAAATACAATAATTAAAGTCTTCTTTGTTGCTCTAAAAGCCATATAATAAAGTATTGTCATTCTTAACATCAATAACGTTGATGATTGTGGCTCACCTTTTTAAGGACAGTTAAGATTATTTATGGTTTGCTTGGTCGAGAAAAAGGACTACATTGTCAGATGACAACTGATTGTGAAACTCACTCAGTGGCAGATGCTCAAGTTGTTTCTGGGGATTTATTCATACAATTTCAATTCTGTCTTCCCATCAAAATAATTAATACTAAAATGTTTGAATGCCTTTTTCTGGACAGAGAAACGTGTGTCAACAGTCAGACAATTGTTTTTAAGAAATATATCGGACATGTATAGAAATGTCTAGCTTGAGATGTTATTCCCTTAGAAAAATCCTGTTGGAAATATATCAGATAATTAAGAAATGGTAGGGGGTATAGTGTGAAAAAGTAACCACAACTGTGTGAGGATTGAGCAGAATAATGTGAATACCATTAATTTGTTGTCTTACTTTTAAATGATGTGAAAGTGCCAGCTTGTGAAAGAAAGGTGAACATGTTGTTTTTTGTGGAGGTACTCAGCATGACACATTTATGTTACAGCTGCCTGTTGATGGAGGATTCATTGTATTTTGCATCAACAGTTTAAAAAAAAGTCCCTGTAGCTCTGGATAACCTGTTCACTTTGACTCAATATTTCAAGTTATTTCATAGGTTTTTAAAAAGGGTTTTCACTTGTATATACAGAATCTGTGGAGGACGTCTGTAAATGCATCTTTGTCTACGATGGCACTGTAAATGTATTCCAGAGTTTTTGACATTTGTTTGAATATATTGTGTTCACCGAGAGAGCTAAAACCCCTGGGTTTGGTCTAATGCTTCCCTGTTCTTTATGTAAATACAGTTTTAATACAAAAAGTCTGACGTTTTGAGTGTTATTTAACTGAATGTTGCTCTGATACATCACTGATGTAAAGGACATGTTTTCCCCCCTTATTGAGCAATCAAAGAGATAAAGAATTTCACTGCTAGATTCAAAGTGCACTGCGGTGCTAATAAAGCTCATATTTAAAATGAATGATAAGTAATGAAACACATTTAAGTAAAGACTAAAAGAGTGACTTGCACACATTTGCTTTCTCAAAATTGCAAGTTTTATTGAAGATAGAAATTCTGTAAAATATAACCAAATCACAAATTGAGTGCATTACATAAAATGTTCATGAATTGATCGTTTATCACTACATTTGAAAATTGAAAATACAAGATTATTTTTCGAACATTATCGGGAAATATGATACATTTATAAAATGACATTTCTTTGTTCCAGTTTTTCATTAACAAATATTCAGTATATTTATAAAATGACTTGTTCCAGTTTTTCACAAAAAAATATTCAGTATTTCATTTCATTGCATACAAATACAAAAAATGCTATAACACATTTTAGGAAAAGGGGTGGAAATCAAAAACATTTACTAGTTGTTGACAATTGATAATGTTTGACTTTATACATGCATTCGTACATTATTGATAGCCTAGTCAAACAGCAGGCTACGTTTAAAATGAATCTGGTAAACATGAAGCTGTGAAGTGAAGAAGAGATTTTGATTTTACCGGCAGGTGACGTCATGGTTCAAGCTCATTTTGATTGGCCGAGTTTACGGCGACGCGGCGTTCCTAGGACAACCAGATGCCAAACAACACACCGAGAAAATGTAGCGTCTCGTCAGGATAACAACGGCATTAATATGAACTTCAATTTAATACAATCATAATTGTTTACGAATTAAAGAGTTAATATTAACTAAGTCGGGAAGAAGGACATCGACGAAAAGCACCTCAAACATGGTACATTTTCTGCTGAACCGAAGTTAAACTTACCTTTAGCTTAACTGCTACAAGCAGAGTAGCTAACATCAACCTGTTGAAGCAGCACCTGTTGAGTTTATTCAGTGTTTCTTACGTGTCTTTTCCACTGGAACAGAGTCGTAACCGGGCGTACAGCCAGCAGCAGAGGCTGATGTCTCAGAGGCAGAACCAGGAGCAGCACCGGCAGGAGGAGGCCGGGCGCGCGGTCAGAGAGCGGCAGCAGCAGGCCGGGCTGCGGCACGAGGACAGCTTCGAGAGGAAGAGGCTGCTGAGGCAGGTGAAGGAGGAGCTGAGGGACAGACAGGTGGAGGCTGCTCTCATCCAGGTAAGTGGGTCTCCTCAGCAAGGCACCCTAGAGGTTTCTCAATACTCAAATGTCCCCTCCTCGACTCCTATCCTCGAGACTTAGTGCCGCCCACATACACATTATATTTATATAATAAATATATACAATTTCAGAATCAAACAAGTATGAGAGCACTCTCATAATAACGTAACACAATCAGAGACTGGATATATCCCCCCCTCTCTCTGGTCGTTGAAATGGGGAATTGAAATTACGGGCCAAAAGTATTTACAAGTATTACAAGTAAGCATAGGACACCAAACCAACTGAGACCCGCTGCAGCACTGTACAACACACACACCTACACACTGTACAACACACACACCTACACACTGTACAACACACACACCTACAGTACAGCTCCTAAAGCATAATCAGGCTACAGCCGTTGTGTATTTTATTATGTGAAGCACTAAATGGTCTTAGAAAAATATCGACTCTTTGTCTGTAGATATCTACTAAACTACAGCATACAAATGCAGAGAGTAATGTAGGCCTGTTATACTGAGTGATATATATTGTACACACTGCTCTGCTTTCTGCACGGACCTCACAGCTGTTCTCACTGTAAACAAAGCGTCACGATGAAAGCAGCTACTAAAATAATATCCAGGGGCTGAGATAAGTCCGGCCGTGCATAACGCCTCCACCGTTCCCGGAAATGCGTCCATGGAGGACCCATCAGTGTCTCCTCGGTTAGAGCTCCTCCAGAGAGCCTCCTCGATGCTCGGTCCTCGATGTGCATTTAGAGAAATGAAATGTCCTTCAACATGGCGCGCTGAAATCCATTTCCGGGTCACTACCGGAGGACCGAGGAGTCGAGGAGGTGAAATTAGAGTATTGAGAAACCTCTCCTGTCTCTGCTGCATTATTTTGATATCACTTGCATCAAATTTTCCCTACACAAAACAAATAATTTACACATGTTTTTGTGAATATACATCCTTTACCATTGTCCCATCTCTACACCGTGTCACCCCATGAACAAGAGGGATAAACAAAGGTTAAGGTTAGTTTAAACATGCAGTACACATTACATTACATTAATGCACAAAATGTACAACAATATCTGTTTTCTTTTCTTTCTTTTTTATCACTGCCGATTTTTATTCCATTCCATTGCAATGTAAATACTGTTATATTTTTTATTTATTTTTTAAATGGTAAGTGTTTTTAATTATTGCTTTACTTGTGTGTATGCACCACGACACCAAGTAAAATTCCTCGTACGTGTAAACCTACCTGGTGATAAACCTGATTCTTCTGAAACATAGCACATCCACATAGCAAGGATTCAAAGTGCTTAAAACATAATAATTAAAAACAAAATGAATTGAACTAAAAGACAACTCATGAAAGGATAGTTAGAACATTTACATTGTAAATACAGATAATGCAGCAAGTGCTGGAGTGCTATGATAACACATAGTCAGATGGTCTCTGGAAAATCAGCATACAGAGAAAGGTTCTCAGCCTTTGAACCCGGGTTTGGGGCAGACTTTAGATACTTAGGAAGTTTGGTCTGCGGAGCATAGAAGCTAAAAGCTGCTTCAACAAAATAATCAAGGAGATGGCTTTGTAAAAATAAGTTGTATGGAACACTCAATACATAAAATTACATACAAATACATTGATCCTGAGCACAGAGGAATACGTTTAAGAATACAAGACCATATGTATACCTTATTCTTACTCTTGTGCCATTATAAAATCAATAAACCTCTCTCACTTAAGCCAATATTTGTTCGGCCCTCTTACGATTATATGATATTTTTTATACACAGCATCAGTTGTATTGTTTTCCCTTACACTCCCATCTCTTGTCAAAGGGCAGGAAAGACACTCTTTTGACCATTAGCCCTAAAAAGCTTTCTAGGGGAACCATTATACAGTATTTCACAATAAGCTGCATGCTATTGTAAAAAAACACATACCAAATATACAAGATAATATAAATAAACACATCTTCAAATTGAGCGGCCCCTTTTATTTTGCTGAAAAAAATCACCAAATGGCAAACCAGTTTCAGGTGAAGGTAAAAAACATTTAGTGGGTAACATGAGGAACCTGTTTTAAGGAACAATTATTTAATTTGATCCATGGTAAATGTCTGTCTTATTGGTTATCACCAGTTAAACATGTAATGATACACAGTACTGTAATTTACCTAAACTCCGATGTTTATCATCATAACTATCTTTGACTTGCAGGCAGAGGAGCAGAGAGCAACCAGAAAACAACAACTAGAACAAGAGGAGAGGTTGGCTAAACAGCTGGTCCGCATCAACTGTGAGACCCAAAGAGAAGAGAAAATGAGGCAGCATATTAAAGAGAACAGGTACACCTACACATGCTCCATAACCTGGACTCACTTTATAATCCGGTTCAAAATGCAAATGCTTTCTTGCTGTTGTGTTGTCTTTCTCTGCTTTGGTCTCTTCAGTATGATCAAGTCGGTTTGAATACTTTTCAGCATGGAGCTTCGAGAGCTGGAGTCGAAGCTGAAGTCTGCCTATCTGAATAAGGAGAGAGCGGCGCAGATTGCTGAGCATGAAGCTATGAGGCTTGAGACAATGGTGAGCACCGTCCGCATTCATTTCAATCAGCTACTTCCAACAACATAACCTAAGTCTGAACCACTGGTTGTAAAAGATTAATTCTGTTCTTAAAATATTTTAAATATCTAGATTTTTCTTTGCAGCTAACGGATAGAGATCCAGTATTATCTAATTAAGAACATACTGAAGGGACTGTTTATGAAGTACATTTGTTTAAAAGAGGCTTAATTACCTTTTTGCATTAGGTCCCATATTTAAGGTGCATTGATATTCACTTTTGGTCAGTTAGGAGTGAAACATATCCTTATTTCTCCTAACAAGGAGCTATTACAAGGAGCTATTACAAGGAGCTAGTAACAAGGAGCTAGTAACAAGGAGCTATTAACAAGGAGCTATTAACTTCACGAAAACACAGAATATTTTCCTCAGTGTATGTCATTTCTTTGAATTAGTGCGAGGTGGCAGATTTAGGACGCAAGATGAAGAGTGAACTTGAGCGATTGGCCGCTGAGAAGCTGAAGCTGGAGCAGAAACGTCTGGAGGAAACGGTAGAGTATCAGAGAGAGCTGGAGCTGCAGCTCATGGAGAAGGAGCGCAAGAGACAAGAGGCGTACGAGGAGTTCCTCAAAGAGAAGCTCCTGGTGGATGAGATCGTCAGAAAGATTTACGATGAGGATCAGATGTGAGTCCTTCGGCGCCAATATTTACAGCATTTAAGAGAATTGCAAAAAAAGTACACATTTTCTAGATTAACCCAACAATGAAGGGATCTGATATTACCTAGAATACATATTCCATGGGTTTAAGTTGGCCATGTTTATACTGGGTAAAGAACATGTGATTTAAGTGACTTAAATCGGGGGCAGGCAGGGAAGATAGTGGCCGACCCCTCCCACCCTGGACACAAACTGTTCACCCCCCTCCCCTCTGGCAGGAGGCTGCGCTCCATCAGGACCAAAACCTCTCGCCACCTCAACAGTTTCTTCCCCTCCGCTACCGGCCTCTTAAACAAGGCCCCCCCACTGACACTTACCTCAGCCACAACGTAGACTCTATGTGCATTACATTAATGCACACAATGTTCACACTGCTTACTGCACATATTCTTATTTCATATTTTATATCCTATAATTCATTCATAGCATTCTATTTTCATGTAAATTACTGCTTTATCTTATTGCTATTTAACTATATTTTATTACGGTGTCCTTAAATATTTTTTGTTTTATATTTTATGTCTGCACCATGACATCAAGTCAAATTCCTCATATGTGTGAACCTACCTGGCAATAAACCTGTTTCTGATTACCAATTAAATATCTGTATCTGTCGTTGACTCAAAATACTACAGGATGCATTTAAAATAGAGTATCTACTAGCTTCCGTTTCTTCTCCAAGAAGGAGATAAGCCTTTGGTAGTGTGAGGTTTTTTTTAAATGATGTTGTTCTCCTGAAGGGAGAGGCAGCTGAAGCTGGAGAAGGTCAGAGCCACTCAGCAGCACATTGAAGACTTCAAGAAGCACCAGGCGGAGTGGAGACGCATGGAGCGAGAGAGGATGGAGGCAGAGAACAGGCGCATCATGGAGTTTGCGAGCCAGCAGGAGCACATGGAGGAGAGCAAGATGGCCAAGATCAGAGAGAGAGAAGAAGCAAAGGAGCATTTTCATAAAATCGTAATCATTTAGACAACTATGTTTTTTAAATCCCAATACTTTTTAGATTTTCATTCAACGACACATAACTGTATATTTGGCACTCCTCTCTGTTCCCTAGCTGTCTGAGAAAATGGAGGCGAAAAGGCAGCAGCAAGAAGAGATGGAGCGAGTCCGTGAGGAACTTCATTCAGAAGAACAAGAAGAGGCTCACAGGCAGAAAGAAATAGTAAGTATCTTTGCTTTACTTTCTCACATGTTAGACATTCATGCTAGTTATCAAACGATTGTTTTGTTAATGGTTTGGCCCAAAAACATGAAAATGAAACCACCATGAGAAAAGAGATGTACAGAGACGCTATGAATTTAAAAGCTCCACTTGTGGGGGAAACTTCTGAAGCAATTGGAGTCAGGACTCAGAGAGACACGAGGAGAGCTCGAGCTTTGATGGCAAACACTGACGGTTTATTTGGAGTTACGGCCGGAGAATTGACAAGACAGGTGGTGTGTCACGAGTTGACACAGCGGTTGCCAAACCAATTCTGAAGAACTCTTTCTGTACACGGTTCCTACGGTCATTAAAAACCTGGAAAAGTCATGGAAATTCAATATGCTAATTCCAGGCCCTGGAAAAGTCATGGAAATGTAACTAAAGTTGCATCAAATATCATTTATATTTGATCTTATCGCCAAAATAGTAATACTATAATGATAATAAATACTGTATCGTATAGTAATGAAACGTAAAATGGCATTTAACTGACGAGGTATTTTGCTGGTGAGAGATTTTAGTTGCTTTAGCGTGTAGAAGCTAGTAAGCCTACTATTTGATTTGTTTTAGATAGGCACAACATGTTTCATATGCAGATCTTATTTTCCTGTTCAATGTTAAAATAAACTATTTTCAGTGGTACCGCTGAGAAAGAGTAATTTTTTTGGTCATGGAAAATTAGGTAAAGGTCATGGAAAATCATTGGTAAAAAAATATATGAACCCTGACTGTAGCTCGAGGTTTTAACTAGTTCGTAGTGTAATAATCAACATTCTTCATCAGTGAGACTAAAGCAGGGGTCGGCAACCCCTGGCACGCGTGCCACCATTGGCACACGGCACCGTAACCAGTGGCACACTAGGAATTAGTGGAATAAGTGAGCAAAATATTAAAATTGTATTTTCGGATCCTGAACGAGACCACCGCCAGAGCGCGTCGCCCCGTTACCTGCAGAAGGAAGCCATGCACGCAACGCAGCCCCGCTCTCTTTAACTCCAGGTGACTTTCTGCTGCTTTCCTCCGTGGTGCAGTGCTAATCGTTTCACCACAGAGGAAAGCACTTCACAAATTGCAGTACCCATAAGGAGCTGTACAAATGCCGCAGTTTTTGTGTGGCTGTGTCTTTAGTTGAAAGCCCAGTGGCGATCTGCCCATCTCTCATCTAAATAATATGCTACAAAGGGGCGGACTGGCCATGTGTGTGTTCTGGAGAATAACAGAACGGACGATCGTCCTTATTATTATGCCGTTTAAACCAATTATTTACATTTGTTTGTTAAATTCGGCATCATGTAAGTTGCGCTGACAGGTCCACACACTGCTTCCCCGCAGCGAGGCTCCCCCCGCCCTCCTGTTGACAGTTCACGAGTGTCGAGCTCCTCACCCCCTCCCCGCAAGGGAACCTTTGTCCCTGAACAGTAAACTACCTCATGACGGCTTGTGCTCTGTCATAGACTGGCAACAACAATGCGCCCAAGCTGCTCCTCCTTAAGAGATAGCAGCCATACCCAAGGCCGTAGAACTATGCCATGGGAAAGGAGATAGTGAGAGGAGAAAATGATGAACTGTGTCAAAGGTTGAATACCTAAGCAAATGATTCCCCAACACCACTGAATGATGATGATTATTATTATTTGAATCTAATAGAAAGAGATGGAGAAGAAAATCCGCCACAGGCTGACGATGCAGCAGACCTGCCAGGAGCAGATGGCCTTCAAAGAGATGCGAAGGCAGGCAGAGAAAGATGAAGAGGAGGCCTTCAGGAAAATAATGATGGCTAAGTTTGCCGAGGACGATCGTTTGGAGCAGATGAACGCCCAGAAACGACGCATGAAGCAACTCGAGCACAAACGGGAGGTGGAGAAACTGATAGAGGACAGAAGACTGCAGCATGAGGCGGACAAGGTACGAACCACACTCTGTTATATCCAAGTTAAAGCAGTGCTGGTGTGGCATGCTGCTCGTACTACACTGTGTAAACATATCGCTGTTTAATCATGATTACATTTTGAATCTTACGGACAATGAAAGAAAGTACAAGATGTATATGAGGAACAAAGCAAAACACACCACACTCATTTTCACTGTGCAGCTATGGCGTTACTTCAATATTCAAAGGTTTTATTGTCATATGCACTGTAGCTCTCTTCACGACACAGGTCGGTTCTTTAAAACGGGCGTTTATTTCTTGGAGTTTTCATTTTGTAGCCTCCCCTCTTCCGTTACGCCGTGAGAACTACAACAACGAATAACACGTATACATAGCCAAACATATTAGCATATTGTGCTACACGTATGAATGAAAATAGGACACATGAAAACATAAAACAAATACCTCGTTGGACGCTTGTCGTGAAAGGAGATTAATCTTTAAAGTTCCTTTTCCGTATAACCTTGTCAAATTAAAACGTTGTCACAGACTTCAGCAGAGCTTCAAATAAAGACGTCAACCCACATTGAGTTGTCCATTGTATCAACAAAACACGCAGTACCAGTACATGAACAAACATTAGTTCCTAGGCACAGGAAACAACAAACACTTATTGGTTTAACATATAAAACAAACTGTATTAAATCATGCCATATTTAACGATTATAATATTACATGAAATAAAGTATTTATTTTTTGAATTTAACTATGAAATTAATTGCGTTGTTCTTTTTAATTAAGGCAACTTTGTTACGTCATTTACATGCACAAAGCTATAGTGTAGAAATGGCTGTCACTACCCGATCTGCAGCTCTGCCCGATCTGCAGTGCGCATGTGCGAGATGGTCCGCCATATTGGACAACTCCGGACGGCAACACAAGATGGACCCTTGACACAGTGGCTTTTAGCAAAGCTCAAAAATAAAACGAGAGAGAGATGAGTTATTACGACGTGACTTCACTTAACAACTCTTTTTATTGGGTTCTTTTATTTGGGGTTAAGTACATTGTCAGAATAAGTGAGGAATGGATTTAACTTCTGTTAGACAGCTATCATACTGAATACATATTTACTGTGAATGTGTGCAAAAATGTATGGCATATGGCTGTCTAACAGAAGTTACATTCATTTCTCACGTATTCTGACAATGTACTTAACCCCAAATAAAAGAACCCAATAAAAAGAGTTGTTAAATAATAGTGAAGTCACGTTGTAATAACAATAACTAAGCTCTCTCGAGTTTTCCTTTTGAGCTTTGCCAAAAGCCACTGTGTCAATGTTGTCCTACTTGGTTTGCCGTCCGGAGTTGTCCAATATGGCGGACCATCTTGCACATGCGCACTGCAGATCGAGCAGAGCTGCAGATCGGGTAGTGACAATGGCAATGGAATTCTTCTGACCGGAGCTCCTCCCACAATGCAACATATATGTGAGACTGACGGTTGAGCGGCCCGACCAAGCAAGGAGGCAGAGAGTTCAAATATAACCCGGTGTGGGCATTTATTCAAATCATGGGCACATGATTCACAGCCTCAATTGCTGTCCACCTGAACACAGTCAGCAGCCACAAGGATCTCACACACACTACCTGTCCACTGACAGGGAAAACAGAGCCTAAATACACACTAATCAGGCCAATAAGACACAGGTGGGGGGGAGGAGACAACATAGGGCACCAGGTGCACACAATAACCAGCCACAGACAAAACGGGAGGGGAAACACTTTCAAACTAAACCACATGTGCAATATTACAAGGCCCGAAGCCGTCAGTCCACAGTGACGAAGTTACCTTTGTCACAATATATAATAACATACAAAATAAAAAGTAGTGCAAGAAGTCTATATACTGTACACAGGGCCGTATCCAGGATTTCCTAAATACCGAGGTCCAAACATGCTAGGGGGGTTTGGGGGATACCCCCCGAGATTTTGGGGATTTTCATGATCTAGTTATGGTGCTTTTTAAGTCCTATGGGGGGTCACAAATTGGATAATATATCGATTTCAAACCATGTCAGTGGGCTGACAATGTCAGCATCAATTATTTTGAAAGTGTAATACATAATAAGAATCAGTTGATTGTTACTATTAATGATCTGGACATGCAGAAGAGGCTAAAATGATCACAAAACATTGTCAACATCAGTGGCGAGCCGTGACTTTTATACCTAGGCCCTCTGACCCCCACCCCTTCCCTCGAGTTATTACGTCACAGCGTATACTTCAGCGGAATATCAAAACAACGGCCCGGGGTGCAAAACGCATCAATGAAAGCGACCCTCTACCACACAAAACAACACCTGTAAATAACCCTATTTGTGTTCTTTGAAATTGAAAAGGATATTGCATTGTGTTTGTTACTTTCGTTGCAGTTGTATGTCTTAAGTGTAATTTGGCATGCTTTTATTTTGAAGGCGAGTTAACGCTGTTGACAGGAAGTTGTTGTTGCTATGGAAACAAGAAACGTTTCACAGCGGGCGGAACTTGTCATAAAGTCCGTGATAATAACACCCACCCATTTAGCGGGAAGATATGATTGGTCAATTGTACTGTCATTTGACATTACTCTCTCGTTCAGTTACTATAGCGGGGCCCTCTGTGAATTCATAGCTGGACCGCCTGGACGTCCAACAGCTCCTCTCTTCACAGTAACTTGCAGAGACGAGCTTCTTTCATTTAACTCTTCACATTCCAACATAAACTGAATAGGCAGATTCGAAGGATTTATTTCTTTGGAAATGTTATTTTAATTACAATTAAATCAAGTTATTTTGGTAAAACTAATGAAAAATATAACTAAAAAAATATATAATTTGTTTTAATGTTTTTAAATATTATTTTGTAGAATATCTTAGGCCCTCACAGAGGGCCCTGGCGGCTCGCCACTGGTCAACATTCATTTTCCATGTCTCTCTCCTTTCCATAACCTACAGCCTCTCTTCCATCTTATTGAGTCTCTCTGTCTTCTTCCTGTTCATTACTCTCTCTGTCCTCTACGCTTTCTCTTTGTTCAATCTCTCCCTCGTTGTTCACTTTTTGCTCCTCCTCACTTGTCGCTCCCGCCAGTGAATCAAAAGCAATTCAGCAATTTAGTTCATTTCACTTGTTTGTTTGCATTTTTTAAAAATGTAAATCTGTTTTGTTTGATTCTCAAAAGAGAACAAAGATGTAAGCAAATTGTGTTTTATACAATTGTATGTTATTATGACATCATAACTGCAATAGATGTATGTTTTAAAATTATGCCTATTGTAAATGAAGACTATTGTTATAGATAAATAGATAGATATGGGGTTGTTAAGCCTACATTATTTTTGTGTGACTGTACCTGCAGTTCCTCCCTGACTTCCATCACTTTCTCTCTCTCTCTTTCTCTCTGCCTGTCCTGTCTCTTCCTTACCAAAGCTGAGCTTCGACTGACTGTCTTTTCATTATATCTAAGTCAGTGTAAAAAGAAAACAATACAATGTTATATCTTCAATGTTTTACTCAAATTGAAATAAAAGAAAAGCATTACAACGTTTGTTAAAAGGTAATCCTTCTGACATTGGATGAATGTAATTAACTGTAGCTCTCTAGCTAGTTTATTCACGCAATTTAAACCAAAGTATAGCCTATACTATAGCTGCAATATAAGTTAGTGTGCATGTTGTCGGACGTCCACTGACTAACGTAGAGCGTTCACACAGGATCTGCTGCTCATATGATGTCCTGATGAACAGAAACACAAGTAGCCCGCTGGACTCAGATCTCTAGATACCTCATCACTCCTCCGCTGCTCCGGTACAAGTCCGGGCTGCGGTGATTTGTTGATACATGTCGTCTTCTTCTGTTTGCTTTAATCGAGGCTACGTAGTTATGCAGCGCCCCCATGGTCAGTAAATGGAAGTACTACAAAGAACCCCGTTTAGTGTAATTATTTCACAAGTTTTGTTATATACAGCTCGGAAAATATTACCGAGGTCCGGACCTCGGTGACCTCAATGGTAGATACGGCCATGACTGTACATGTCAATAGAATATGGGATATGTTAGGGCTGCTCGATTATGGCAAAAATCATAATCACGATTATTTGGGTCAATAATTGATATCACGATTACTAAAAAGTTTTAAAACGATTATCCATTTACTTTGAAAACATCCATTTATTGAAAAAAAATGTGAACAGTATGTTTTTAACAGTTGATTACCCTGAACTTTAAGTATAATTCAACTGAAAAACCAATACAAATAATAACTTTAAAAAACAATTACATATTTTTTTTTTTAATAAAATTAATAATCAATTTATTTCGTAATCGTTGCAAGCCAAAATCGTAATCTAGGATATGTAAAAGACCAGAATATGAAATTAAATAATGTAAATGAAGACAAAATTAAATACGGTTTATTGCAGATTATAAAATGGACTTTTATTAATCCCCGTAGGGAAATTCAGTTGTTTAAACAGCAACAGGGTAAGGGTGAAAAAGCAGGACAGATTCACACAGAGTAATACAATCAAACATAAGATCAAAGATTACAAATAAAAATAATAATAATGACAAACTATGAAAAAATGAAAATAAGAATATAAATATGCATATATTCGGTCATATAAACTATGAATGAAAATGAAAATAGACATATATACAAGTTGGGTCATATATACATATTATATATATATATTAACATGGGTGTGTGGAAACAGTGTGAATTTATGTCCAGTGATTGGTGTATATACTTAAATGTAATGTCAGATTTGATAATAACTTTCATATCTCTCTTTAAGGAACTGGAGGCTAAAGAAAAGGCGATTGAGGAGGAGAGGCAGGCGCTGCGTCGGCAGATTATCGAAGAGGAGAGGCAGCGACTTCTTAAACGCCACGCAACAAAACTCCTTGGATACCTCCCGAAGGTATGATGCAGAGCATGAAGCATGAATAACAGATTCATATCTCCTGTTGGTGGAACGAGTGTATGACCATGAGTGTGTCCTTGTTCAGGGCTTGCTCCGTGAAGACGACCTGCAGCACTTTGATGAAGACTTCAGAAAGAACTTTGAAAAGCGTCCGGCAGATATCTCCTCTGAGGACGGCTGGGAGGACGATCAGTAGACGTTTGATCTGAACTTGCATACCATGACACTGGATGGCATTTTAGAGTTACCTTGGTAGCAATTGAGTGATTTCATCGTTCAGGATTCACGAAGGAACTTTATTAGCATTCAGTACAAAAACAAATGTCTTATTAGGGTTAGGGTTACAGGATCTGAATAAAAAGCATTCCAGAAAAGGTGGTGGCTAGATGTGATCATTATCAGGAGACACATTTTGAAAGTGAAGACTCGGTCGTCAGCGCGTCTCTGTGTTTATGACTTCCCCCAGTCTAGAGCTTTCATGAACTCCTGTTCGGTGAATGACAGCAGCTTGGCAGCTTCAAAATGCATCTGCATCAAAAGAGTTACATTTAGATGAAACTGAAAACAGGGTGCCTATTGTTAACAGAGTGAGTTAGAGACACTTACCTTTTGTCTTTTGAGAATGTCAATCAGCTTGAGCTGTTTCTTAAAACCCACAATGAGTTCTGCTTTCTGCTTTTTTAACATTTTGTTTTCAGCAAGGAGATGTTCTTTACTCTGATGTTCCTCGCTGATCTTGTCCTGATCACATATTTAAAAAGACTGACATTAGTTTAGCAGGGCAAACAAAGGTCTCAAACAATCAAAACATGTTGAATTTCAGTTGAAGCTGAAGAGCCGAATCAACTCTTTCCATCTCCAAATATCTTCCTCCATGTTGTCCCGCGTGCAGCGGATGAGATGCTGCACAGAAAACCCTCCCGGCGTCACACATGCTTCACTTCTGTTCCATGGAGTTTATCAGTTGCTTATTTCCCTGTTTTAACATTTATAGTATGATCTTTTATATACTTAAAAGGATGCATTATCGTTTTACTTTAAAGATGTTAAATCCGTTTTGATCTCAAGACGATCATAATTACATTCCTTTAAAAATATTAACATTTTCAAAAAGCTCTACAATAGGAATATATTGTTTATCTCGAAATAAAGTTCAAGTTCTATGTAATTGTTGTGAATATGTTCTTATTTTTGTATTTTTTTGTATCATTTCATGTTTTATTTATGTGTGTATGAAAGGTACAGTAGGTAAGAATGGAGAAAACAGCTCGAGTGCGCTAGAATTTGAAAGTATGCAGACGAAAAAAATCTGCCCCTTCCTTCAGACTTCCTTACAGAGCCCCTCCTCCAACACACATGAACGCGCACATGACCAATGAGGGCACGAGATAAGTTTGTGCACAGATGGAAAGCTGACAGGCAGGTCCTCATCCAGTCATTTTAGCCGGGCCGGCTCAGATGATTGGTCGTGCTTTTTACAGTACTACGGCTTCCACAGATTACATTTTTGTATGTATTTATTGTCAAAGCATTTAATGTATTCATTGCTATCGGGATGTTAAGAGCATTCAATGGAATATAACAAAAAGTGTTTCTGAAATAAATTACATACCCCACCTTTAATTCATTATTTTTCAAGTACAGGACACTACTGCAATAAAGGTTTGGCCCCCTGTCTCTTCTAAGGACTGGGAAATTAAGTAAAGCACTTTGTTATGATCAAATGCTGAATAGAAGTTTGATAGAAAGGAAAAATCCAAAAAAACAAATAGCACCAATTTTGCTGGTTGGGCTCAATTTAGAGATTTCTTTCAACAACATAATAAAATAAACTTAGTGCAGATTAAGTCGAGGGAGAAGATATATGTTATCCCTCTACCAAACAACATTGAACGAGACTGATTTGACTGGACATCAAGGAAGCCTCAAGAACTGATTCAGACTATAGGCTTGATGTAATTCACCAGATAACGAATGAGATTAAATAATGAGCCTATAATGGGAAAATAAGAGTACTAATTTCCAATTTTGTGCACAATGAATTCTGTCATTTTGATGTTCTGCTTCCTAGTATTTTGTAATGTACGAATCCCTAGTAGATTGACTTGTTAAGTACACACCTGTAGTAGAATGTTGAATGGGATGTACCAATGTGTTTTAGGAACCTGTTCTGAACCTGACATACATAAAGTGCCTTCTGTCAAGTAAGTCTTTGTGCATTAATACATGATGGTAATAGTCCAGACCTATACACTTCCCAGAGGTGTAAACAAAGTACACTATTCACAGGTGTTATCAAATAAACACTTACAAAGTACACTGAATTACAGTTTAAAATGAACTAACATTAAAGTGCACTGTTTGTATACTTATGTACACTTCTAATGAAGTGAAATTCAAGTCTACTTAAATAAAGCATACTAATAGTGTATTACAAAATACTAAAAAATAATTGTACTTTTGATCAGTATACTTAATGACCACTATAAGTATTTGCAATTTAGTTGTAGCGAAAGTGTACTTATTTGCAATTCACAATACACTTAGATTCAAGTACACTGAAATACCACTTTAAGTATTTCAGAAATAGTAGTTATTTTTTAGTACGTTGAAATTTAACTAAATTACATCTATTTTGAATTACACTTTTTAAAAGTACATTTTAAACATACTTTAAATTAAGCACAAAAAGTAAAAGTATACTTGTATGTACATTTTGTATACTTAAATTATATTTCTAATAACCTAAAGTATACTACTTTTTGACCTGGGTTTTGATACATGTAAACAATGGTGTTATCTACACTGTAATCTGATTACCTTGCTGGTCTGTTTCATCTTGTTGAGTTGAGTCTTCAGCTTCTCCCCCTCCTCCAACGCTCTGTTCAGACGCACCTCCACGCTGCTGTGGACGGCCGCCGCTTGTTTCTGGGATCTGTTCAGATTTTCTATTTCCTGCACATAGCACGACCAGGAAGTGATCACATGAGTAATGGAAGATCACATTTTGTAGTTCGTTATTAAAAAAGTATGGGTTACAGACCTTTTGGAGAGCAGACACTTGCAGTTGAACACCTTCACATTTTCTGTTGGACTCCTCTGCTAGCGCTCTGTGCTTCTCGATCTGTGTCTGCTGGATGTTTGTTGTTTTCTGCAGTCTGACTCGATCCTCCTCAAGCTCCTTGATTCTTGCACTAAGTTTAGCATTTTCATCATCCTGCAACAACAGATGCTAATGTTAACAACAACAGGAACACGGTGTAGAACAATATTGTCAATATTTAAAGTCATCTGTATTTCCAGGTCCTTCCTTCCTACGGCCCCTGGTAGACCCCCCCCCCCCTCACAAACACAACAACACCGACTATGCTATAACACCCCTACAAATGATGTGCAATATATACTGTTAATAACTGTGCAATATATACCTGGCTGCTTCATCTTAAAAACTTTTACAGATGTGTATTTTGAAAATGGTGTACTTTTTTAATTTTTTTAATCTTTAATATTTTTTTCATGCATGCTTTTTAGTTAATATTAAGCTGTCTTTGGCTCTTTTCTTGCTGTAACAAATGCAAATGTCCCCTCTGTGGGACGAATAAAGGTATTCTGATTCAGATTGTTCATCACTGATGTTGAGCTGAAGTTCTGTCCCCCCCTGCTGATAGGCTTGGGTCATTACAGTTCTAGTTAAATCTTTTTTATCCACACATTACCTTCTTGTAATATTCACATGAGAATTGATCCAGTTCCTCTTGCATGATCCCTAGTTTTGCCTTCAGAACTCGTATTTGAGCATCTGAAACACCTAACCGCAACAAAAACAGAGCAACACAATCAGACTTAGGAGCCCATTTCACTTTTCCCCTTGAAACAAAATACATATCAACCATCTCACACGTCTTGAACACATTCTTGACCCTTGCAGACGCCACATTAACCCCAATAAAAAGTTCTGCTTTGCAGAGAAAACAAAACAAATAGTAAGAATGTATCATTTATTTTTCAAAATAGATTCAGAGATTGTATTTAAGTATATTTATTTGCAAAAACGCTAACACAGAGTGAATGGCAGTCTAATAAATGACTTATTGAAACCTTAAAACGGACCTAGGGAGAAAATGACATGCTTTAAAATAAATATTTGTGTAATTCACTATTAGTGAATACAACTGGGATTTCCTTTTCACAAGTTGGGATGGACATTACCTGATCCTACATTTTCTCCAGCAGTATCAAAATCATCCATGACACTTTCATGAATCATGATGTCGTTCATCTTCTCCTCCATGCTACGTATTGTATTAGCCAGGAAAGAATCAGCAGAGTCTTCTCCAGCAACTAAATCATCCACACGAGAAGCCTTTGAGGTTCTGAAAATGGTGTGAACAATGTGAAAACTTTGAATGTCCTTGTGAGGAAATGCATGCAGAATATATTTAACTAACAGTTACAATCAAACTTACGCTGTTTTCAAGTGAGGCTCCTTGTCTTGTTGACCAGTACACATGTTGTTTGATGTTGATGTGACTCTTTTTTTGGTCACCCCCTAAGTAAATGTATGGCAAATATAATACATAAAAAACATATTAGAAAGTCCTACAGCATTGACAGAATGTAGCAGTGGATGGAAAACTAGCGTGTGTTGGAGAAATTGTTTCAGAAATACAGGCAGAAAAACATTATAACGATACCTTTACACCGGGCCCCTGCAGAGTTCTCTGTTTTAGCTTTGGTATCCTAGAAGGGAAAAGATAGATAAATACATGGAAACAGTTAGGTATATATACATATATATATATATATATATATATTATAGATACATTTATTATTTTGTTGCATAGGTTCTTTCTCTGGAATAAGTTTAGACCTTTTAAAATTGAACAGTAATTATTGTGTCATGCCCAATCCTCCAAAGATCTGATCTATCTATTACCTTGACCTCTCTTCATCCTCAATGTCCGAAAGCAGGAGGGTAGATAAGGGTTTTGACAGAACTTCATTCTGGTCTCTCTAAATTTGGATAACACCAATAGGGAGGTTCATTTTTAAGGCAGTTTTCACTTGCCAAATTACAAAAAGAATGTGTGTTGCTTTTACAACACACTGGTGTGAACATGTTGATAACTTACCATAAGTTGTTCTGCCTGTCTTACTAGATCAGCTGTTTTGGCTTCCAGCTCTGCATTCATGAGTCTGAAGAAAAATAAATAAATAAATATGTAGATCAGTGCTTCTTGAAAACTTGAGAAAAATATGAAATGTCTTTTGGAACAGGAGGTCTTACTTGTATTGTTCTTCCTTGGCCAAAAGGTCATCTGTGTGATTTTTCGTTGGGCCTGAGGCAGATTTGACCTGCGGTCGTACTTCAATCCTCTTCGACCTCTCGGCCTTAGTGCACGAGGATGGGCATTTCTTGGGCTAAACAAGACAGAGAGGCAGACTTGGTAACATGGATTTTCTAAGTCAATATTTCACAAAGGTCTAAAATTGGATTATGATCTAATTTAATTAGCAATTGACCTTCACACCTTGTAAGCCGGACTGATACTGCTTCTTTTTTTTTACTATTCATTCTACCGTGTTGTGTGCTGTTTTATATTGTTCCATGCTCACTGCTAACTGCTTGTAGCACTTTTGGGGATTTGACTTCAAATATGAAGTGCGTTACAAATTAAACCCATTATACATTGTTATATTATTTGTACATAAGCACAGTAAGCTCTGTTTTCTTTAAACTATAAATGTCCCGCTCAGTACACAAAAATATGTTTATTCATGTTTTTTTATTTAAGAAAACACACATTAACAGATAGTTCATAATCTGATTTTTTAACCATCAAATATCAATATTGATCTTTGCCTTACAGCCCCTGCACTCACACACTTTTAGAAAAGTTGTCACAGATCTTCCCTATTAATATAACTGAAAGCCATAAACTAGAAGTGGTACCTCCATAAAAAGTGATTAATACTGTAAAATAGCTGCACACCTAGGATGGAGTAATTGATCGAAAGGGGTTTTATGATATGGTTTTATGATATACTGTATAACATATTATAATACCAGTAAGATTATTTGGTTTATGGGTTTGCACTTTCTATGTTGTACTCAGAGGTTATGTAAGAACTGATGCTTGAACATCTGCATGGGATTAGCTCAGTGTATTTTTCTGCCATTCATAACGTATTTTTCTTCCACAATGTTAATAAATCGGTTAGAGTACAATGATTATAATGTTAGCGGAAAACAATTACACTGTTAGC